CTCTGCACCCCCTGCCACTCCTTCTCCACAGCCTCAGGCCCCATCACCCTTCCTCCCCCATTCCCACCCCCCTCACCCATAGTTTTGCTCCAGTACTGGCAGGCAGTGTCCCCACCAGAGCATGGAACACAGCCCCTGTCCAGCCCTGTAGCCATGGTGCAGGTTCTGTGCTTCTGCTATGGGGCTGTGCTCTGTGCCCCAGGCTGCAGCAGGGGTAGGGACTCCTGGCATGGAGCAAGGTAAGTGGCAGGGGGGACAGGTAGGGGTAAAGGCTTTGGGGCAGGGGAGCAGGGACCCATGGCTGTAGGGGGGAAGCATATGGAGGAGTAAGTTTGGGGGAGAGGGGACAGGCAGCAGGAGGTGAGCTGCCTACCTGCTCGCCACCCTCACACTGCCTGTCCCCCATTGCTCCCTCCACCCCTGCTCCAATACTGCCTCTCAGATACATGCCTCCCCACCTGCCCCATTACTGCCCCACTTGTCACCTGTCCCTCCACCAGTAGTGCTGGTGATGAATTTAAGATGATTCTCCATTAATTAAATTCTATACATGGAAAATTATAACAAACATAAATTGTCCACATATAGAATTTAATTAATGGGGGGGCGGTCATGTTAAATTCAGGGTCATCTTGGATTTAGGTAAATTTTTGTCGTCTTTTTCCATGTGATGGATTTGCAGTGGAAGATAAACCTCTGAATTTGATTTTGTAACCAAAGTATAGAAGGTAGAGTGGTCCTCTCAACACCAGTCTTTTGGTCACGCATATGTGAACTGTAAATGAGGACTGGGTACTTATGAGTAGGAATTAATCACTTAACCTCTAAAATACATAGGGTGTTGAAAAAAAGGAAGCTGCTGTGAAATCATGGTTCTCTACACAACATAACAAAAATGTTAACCTCATTTTTTTTAAAGTAGTCCATTAGTAAAATAGTACTCAAAATTCATAGCTTGTAAAAATTGGCCTAATGTATTTTTCTCCACTGGAAAAAGTACTTAATATTTACTCTTTTGAATGGAGTAAAATATATTTTAACAAAATAGCTTTATGTATGCTATGCAAGAAAACCAAAAAGCCCGTTAGAAGTGTGTCTAGAAATTTGACAAGAGTACCACAGAAGCCAAAATTTGGTATTTGATAGCTGTGGGAAAAGGAGCTGGTCTTACCATATGTTAAAAATAAATAAGGTGCCATAAACCCACTTTTGCCCCTAATGTATTCTCAGTCTAAATCCAGGTAAAATACACCCCCCCT